TTCCCTCCATCCATTCCCATTTTCCCACATTTCCCCCTCCATTCCCTGTTTTCCCATCCATTCCCACATTCCCTCCATCCATTCCCGGTTTTCCCCCCGTCCATTCCCACTTTTCCCCCTTTTCCCTCCATCCATTCCCACGTTCCATTCATTTCCCTGTTTCCATTTCCACTTTTCCCACTTTTCCCTCTTTTCCCTCCATCCATTCCCATCCATCCTTTTCCCCGTCTTTTCCCTCTTTCCATTCCCACTTTTTCCCATCCTTTTCCCTCTTTTCCCCCCATCCATTCCCACATTCCCTCCATCCATTCCTGGTTTTCCCTTCACCCATTCCCACTTTTCCCCCTTTCCCCTTCATTCCCACTTTTCCCTCCATCCATTCCCAGTTTTCCCCACCCATTCCCACTTTCCTCCCCCTCCATTCCCACTTTTCCCCCTTTTCCCCTCCATTCCCACATTCCCTGCACCCTTTTCCCTCTCTCCCTTCCCACTTTTTCCCACTTTTTCCCACTTTTTCCCACTTTTCCCCTCCCCCCTCCATTCCCCGTTTTCCCTGGAATTCTCCATCCCCAGGAACCCGCTCCCCCTCCCCCCTCTCCTCATCCCGACCTTTCCCGTCCTCCGGGAGGGGGAAAAAATATCCCAAAAGATCCCAGAATGTCATCCCGGAATGATGTCCCGGGAATGTCGCCGGCCTCATCCCCACCTTGGCCCTGATCCCGACTCCCGCCTTTCATCCCGGGATAATGAGAGCGGCGGAAAACCGGGAATGGGGGCCGGAGATAACCGGGAATGAAGGGAGGCGGATAATTGGGAATGAGGGAGGAGGTTAATTGGGAATGAGGGACGAGGTTAATTGGGAATGAGGGACGAGGTTAATTGGGAATGAGGGACGAGGTTAATTGGGAATGATGGGGGGCTCAGATAACCGGGAATGAGAGCCGGAGATAATTTGGGAATGAGGGATTCGGATAATTGGGAATGATGAGGGGTTCAGATAATTTGGGAATGGGAGCCGGAGATAATTTGGGAATGAGGGATGCGGATAATTGGGAATGATGAGGGGTTCAGATTACCGGGAATGAGGGATTCAGAAAACCGGGAATGATGGGGGGGCTCAGAAAACTGGGAATGAGAGCCGGAGATAAATTGGGAATGAGGGGTTCAGATTTCTGGGAATGAGGGATTCGGATAATTGGGGATGATGAGGGGTTCAGATAATTTGGGAATGAGGGATGCAGAAAACCGGGAATGAGGGGTTCAGATAATTTGGGAATGATGAGGGGTTCAGATAATTTGGGAATGGGGTTCAGATTTCTGGGAATGAGAGCTGGAGATAATTGGGAATGATGAGGGGCTCAGAAAACTGGGAATGAGGGGTTCAGATAATTTGGGAATGGGAGCCGGAGATAATTTGGGAATGAGGGATGCGGATAATTGGGAATGATGAGGGGTTCAGATTTCCGGGAATGAGGGATTCAGAAAACCGGGAATGATGGGGGGGCTCAGAAAACTGGGAATGAGAGCCGGAGATAAACTGGGAATGAGGGGTTCAGATTCCTGGGAATGATGAGGGGTTCAGAAAATTTGGGAATCAGGGATTCAAATAATTGGGAATGATGAGGGGCTCAGAAAACCAGGAATGATGAGGGGTTCAGATAATTGGGAATGAGGGATTCAGAAAACCAGGAATGAGAGCCAGAGATAATTTGGGAATGGGGTTCAGATTTCTGGGAATGAGAGCCGGAGATAATTTGGGAATGATGGGGGGTTCAGATAATTTGGGAATGGGGTTCAGATTTCTGGGAATGAGAGCTGGAGATAATTGGGAATGATGAGGGGCTCAGAAAACTGGGAATGAGGGATTCAGATAATTTGGGAATGGGAGCCAGAGATAATTTGGGAATGTGAGATGCAGAAAACCGGGAATGAGGGATTCAGATAATTGGGAATGATGAGGGGCTCAGAAAACTGGGAATGAGAGCCGGAGATAATTGGGAATGATGGGGGGTTCAGATAATTTGGGAATGGGAGCCAGAGATAATTTGGGAATGAGGGATGCCGATAATTGGGAATGATGAGGGGTTCAGATTTCCGGGAATGAGGGATTCAGAAAACCGGGAATGATGGGGGGGCTCAGAAAACTGGGAATGAGAGCCGGAGATAAACTGGGAATGAGGGGTTCAGATTCCTGGGAATGAGGGATTTGGATAACTGGGAATGAGGGATGCAGAAAACCGGGAATGAGGGATTCAGATAATTTGGGAATGAGGAGGGGTTCAGATAATTTGGGAATGGGAACCAGAGATAATTTGGGAATGAGGGATGAGGATAATTGGGAATGATGAGGGGTTCAGATAACTGGGAATGAGGGATGCAGAAAACCGGGAATGAGGGATTCAGATAATTTGGGAATGATGAGGGGTTGGGAATGAGGGATGCAGAAAACCGGGAATGAGGGATTCAGATAATTTGGGAATGATGAGGGGTTCAGATAATTTGGGAATGGGGTTCAGATTTCTGGGAATGAGAGCCGGAGATAATTAGGAATGATGAGGGGCTCAGAAAATTCGGGAATGAGAGCCAGAGATAATTTGGAATGATGAGGGGTGTGGAAAACCGGGAATGAGGGGTTCAGATAATTGGGAATGAGGGATTCAGAAAACCAGGAATGAGAGCCGGAGATAATTTGGGAATAGGGGTTCAGATCTCTGGGAATGAGGAGGGGTTCAGATAATTTGGGAATGAGAGACTGAGATAATTTGGGAATGAGGGATGCCAGAAAACCGGGAATGATGGGGGGGGCTCAGAAAACTGGGAATGAGAGCCAGAGATAATTCGGGAATGAGGGATACAGAAATCTGGGAATGAGGGGTTCAGATAATTGGGAATGAGGGATTTGGATAATTGGGAATGATGAGGGGTTCAGATAACTGGGAATGAGGGATGCAGAAAACCGGGAATGAGGGGTTCAGATAATTTGGGAATGAGAGCCAGAGATAATTTGGGAATGAGGGGTGCAGAAAACCAGGAATGAGGGGTTCAGATAATTGGGAATGAGGGATTCAGAAAACCAGGAATGAGAGCCGGAGATAATTTGGGAATGAGGGATACAGAAAGCCGGGAATGAGGGAATCAGATAATTGGGAATGAGGGGTTCAGAAAACCAGGAATGAGGGGTTCAGATTCCTGGGAAT